GGGAGGCGGGAGGCGGGAGGCGGGAGGGAGGGCAGGCCTATGTTCGGGTGGTTTCCCGCCCGAATGTTCGAAAACAGGCGGCCTATCTGGGTCGCTGATCTCACCAGATTGACGGTCCCGATAGGAGGCCAGGTTTTCAACATTCGGGCAGGCCCCAGTTCAATGTTTTTGGGGCCGGGAGTCCTCCACAACCCGCATGGAGGCCTCCTGGCCCCTAAAAAAATTGAACCCCCCCCCCCTAATCGAAATGTGCAAATGGCGACCGGGGGGGAACCAGCGCGGTCCACCGGCCGGTTTGACTGGCGCGGTCCACCAGCCGGGTATGCAGAACTGATTCACGCTGTAAGCTTTCCCAGTCATGGTGTGTTCACGGTGAAAGGGTTGGGCTCATTTCCTGCAAGGTTGCCCCCTCCCCTTCTTCCTGTAAGGGAATCAGCAAGCCGCCCATCTCCTGCACTCCCTTCTTGTGGGCTCTAATGTCGATCATGTTTGCTAGGCTTGCTGCCGGCAGTTCAGACAGAACACTTGTGCCCAATGTTGTCTAAGGCAACTGTGATATCTGCCAACATGGTCTCCATTGCAAATAGCCCTTCAGGGGTGTCTTGTTGTCATAGAGAGCAACCACTGGTGTCACGTCCAGGCTATCTTCCTTCCCCTCTTTCTCCTTTCTGTTTGTTGAAGGTACCTTTAGGACCTCCCCCAATAGACCCATTTTTAATGGGGCCTTTTCTGAGATCAGTGCAGACATCTTTTCTTCTAATCCTTGCCCTTTCTCCAGTCTTGGGAGGGCAAAATTTGCTGCTGTAGCGATCTGCCACTCCTCTGACTATTCCTCCAGTCTCATGGCGAGAATCATCCTTGAGGGTAGGGGAGTTTTGCTGATTTCACTGTTTTGTTCCAGAACTCTGTTTGTGTGCAGTCGTTCAAGCTTCCAACTGTGACTGTGTTCAGTCTCATTTCTTCATTGAGGTCGCACAACCTCTGCACTTGGGGCTCCAACACTTATGATTGCAGCAACAAGGCTTCTCTCTCCGTGTTTGATTCCTCTACTTTCTGTTGGTCCCCCTACACGTCCTCATTTTTACTCCCCTCCTTTTGATCCTTCGTGATTTCTCTCAGCTCCTTTATTTCCTTTGTTTCCCTTTGGGTCTCCCTTTCTTTTCTCATTCGTCTTCTTTCTTTTGTTGTAGGTCTCTGGAAGTTCAGACATCTTGTAACAGTCCTCTCTCCATCCTTCTCCTTCTTCAGATGTTTCTCCCCTCTCTTCCTCCCTTTGTTTCTTTGCCTGATTCTTCTTGAATCTGCAGTACTGTTGGGCATAGTATTCCGTCAGTTCCTCCTCCCTGTTCAAAGATTCATAACTGTTTCCTGAGAGTGGAACTCTTGCAAAAAAAAAGTATCTCCCCTAGCTTTCTCCTCCTCCCTTACATAGGCCATGTGCAGCTCCTCCTCCCTGTTCAAAGATTCATAACTGTTTTCTGAGAGTGGAACTCTTGCAAAAAAAAAGTATATCCCCTAGCTTTCTCCTCCTCCCTTACATAGGTCATGTGCAGCTCAAACATGCTTGCTATTTGTCCCTTCATGACTTGGATATACTGCTTGATCTTCTCCATTGGTCTGTCCTACCACTCTTCCTCATATTGAAAAAAAGGAGTTTCCTCTCTTGTGGGCTTTTGGTGCTTTCTTCTTTCGTGCAGTCCCCTCCTTTTCTTTTTGTCCCCGATTTTTTGTCTACCTGGGTTCCTTCCATCACCACATCCTTTTCCTGGGCCCTTGATTCATCTGTGCTTGTCTTCCCCTCTTGTTCAACTTTTTGGCTCCCCTTTCTTGTGCACTTAATCACAGTGTTGTCCGTTGTGTTCTCTGTTGTAGATTTTGTTACCATATGGTTAACTTTCTTGTCTTTCAGCATTTTCACCCATCCCCTTTCCGCCAGTTCTCCGGTCTCGTCCAGGTCCATTTGGAGGTCTCTTAGCCTCCTCTCTTCTTGTACTCTCCCCCTGTTCAAAACCTGGTCTGTAGTGAAAAACTATGGAGATTTTTTGCGTATGTTTTTGACTTGCCAGCTGTTGTCTGAGGGTGGGTAGATGTTTGGTTTCTGGGTTGGTTCCCCTTCGAGGACCCACACCCAGTCCGGTATTATCGTTAAAACCCATCCCACGTACTTTGCATTTCTGACAAACCAGAAACCAGGCTCTCCTTCCACTTCTTCAAGGCTGGTTGGCTTCAGGCTTCTGTTCCTTGCTGAATCCACATTTTTTGGGCACCTTGGGGCTGTTCCCAAGTGTCCTCTTTGTCTGCATTTGAAACACACGGGATTGCTTTTGGTGGAGACAGTTACCTTTACTTTTATGTCCCTCACCGCAAAATGCCAGAGCTCGGGACATTGTGGTGATACAGCTCCTTGGGTGTTAATACATGCCATCATCATGTCGTGTTGTGGGATCAAAAAGTCGGTTGTGGGTGTGATCCAATCCATCACTGGAAATTGGTCACACTCCTCCTGTAGCATTGCCTATACCGCCCCATGCAGCCGCTCCTGCACTCCATCAAACTGGATCCAGAAATAATTCTGCATCAGTGATTGTGTAGCATTGCC